AAGGCGCGCGGGGATGTGATTGGCGGCGTCTCCTGCAGCAGCGTCAGTCACTCTGGCCCAGTGGCGCACATTCACCGACGAGTGCCCAGGGGCATTCGTGGGGGCCCGCACGGACCTGACGGCGACCGCGCAGTGAATGAGCAGGGTGAAAATGCCGAAGATATCCCTGAGGGCCACATCCGCCGCGCAGCCCCCCCCCGCTCGCACCGCCCCGGAGGGCGGCAGGCCTGGGGGGGGCTGCACCCCGGGCCTCGGCAAGGAGCTCGCCCGTCGACGCCAGGGCGACCGCCGCCCAGCCCGCGCGCCTCAGCTGCGGGAAGTCGCCGCGGATGCACGAACCGTCGGCGAAGACGAGGGCGCCCTCGGGAACCACCAGCGCGCCCCCCCAGCCTCGGGGGGCCGCCCCCTCTAGGGCTGCAACCGCGGCCACTGCAGCAAGGGCGCCAGGTCCACGAAGAGCCCGATCCCGAATAGCTTGAGGGAGGGCTGGCCCAGCCTGCTGACCGCCCCGGCAGCCTTCTGCAGGTCGTCCAGCAGCCCGTCACGCCTCCAAGGGGGCCGCTCAGCGTGGCGATATCGCCCGTGGAAGACCGCGCCGTCATCTTGACCGCAGAGCAGGCAGTTCGGGACATGTCGGCGCTGCGCTTGGCCGGCCTCGCCTGCAGCAGCGGTGCTTCGCCCGGACCTCTGTCTTCGGCTGGACGAGGGCCTCGTTGATCGGCCGCCACGCAGGTGCTAGCCGCCGCGGCCAGAAGGGCCCCGGCCGCTCACTGATCTCTTCCAGCGACGCCGCCTCCCCAATGGCCTCGCGAGCTCTCTCGGCCAAGGAGGCCCGGGGGGGCCTCGAGACCTTAAACTCGCAGCCGATCTCATCCGCGAGCCTGCCCCCGCTGGCCGCCAGGCGCTGCCCGACGCGCTCCGGGGGCCAGGGCGAGAGCCGCAATCGAATCTCCGACGGCAGAACAGGGCCCCAAGCAGCTGCCGAGGCGGCCGCGCTCCAGCAGGCAGGCCTCGACTGCAGCACGGGGGGCCTGGCCCGACCCACGCGCGCTGACATGGGCGCGCACTGCAACCCCCGTGGACGCTACCAGCGGGCCAGGTCTCCGGCCTATCGCAGCATGCTGCAGGCCGAAGCAGCGAGCCGCTCCAGGTGCCAGGCCCCCCGCACACCTCGCCGCCGCAATTCTGAAGTCCCCCGCCCTGCCAAGGGGGCGCCCGCCGCGGCCGACCCCCAACGCGCCTCGGTCGCGGGGCCCGCTCGCAAGATGCGCGGCCGTCGCAGTCCAGGCCCGAAGATGCTCTCGGGCGACCTGATTCACCACCCTGCGGCGCCCCCCATGCTGCGGCGGCGCCTCCAAGATCGCGGCGGCCCGAGACACAGGCCGACGGCGGGCGGATCCACTAGGGGTGGTCAAGCAAGGCCAGCTGGTGCGCGGCCGACGACGCCAGCGCTTTCGTCTTGCTCTTGTTGAATGGGAGCTCCCTGTCGCCCAGCATGGTGACCGCGCCGCCCACGAACCTGGCCACTTAACATACCAGCAACCCGAATGACCCGACGCCGTGGCCCGCGACGTCATCGAGCACATTCACCACTCCCCCGATAGGCAGGAGCGCACGCCCCTGGAGCAGCAGGTCGCGCAGCATGAGCCGCGCCACGGTGGTGGCGCAGGCGCGGCCCGCGATGACGGCCCCATGCACAACCATGACTTCGCTCACTGCCCTGTCGGCCGTGGCTCGCCTCGGACCAGAGTAGGCCACGCGCGCGGCGCTCGCGCCAACCCGAGGCTGAAGCCCCGCGCCTCGGCGGCTCCCCTGAGGATGCCGTGGCCCATCCTCTCGTAGAACGTTCCGATGTCGAAATAGACTTGAAGCACCGTCGAGGCCCGCTGCCCTTGACAGCCCGACATCGACGCCGCGCAGGCAGGCAGCGCGGTCGCAGCACGCGTCCGATCTCTGGCCCCAGACCTCGGGCAGCGCGCGGCCTGGCTTCCATCTAGCGAAGCAGCGGCAACCGCACGCACATCCGCCCGATCGGGCGCCGCCCTCCATCGGCCTTGCCCAGAAAAACGATGACTGTGGTGAAGGGATCTGAGGGTCGTGGATACCTCCCCCGCGCCGCGAGGACCTCAGCCAGGCGGTCGGCGGACGGGCGGTCGAGATAGGCGATGGGGCCCGGGGTGGAAGGCGCCCCCGCCGAGGGCGGTGCCTGCGGGGAGCGATTTCGGAACCTCGAGGACCTCGTCAGCCGCGATCTCCGGCAACGCCACCGTGCACTCCCAATCACCAGGACGCACGGACTGCCCACGCCCAGGCCTGCCCCACAGCGTCTTCCACTCACCCGAAATACGGTCCAGCGCCTGCTGCCCGACCAGCGGCACTGGCAGCCCTCCTGGGAGCGGCTCGCCGAGGGTGGGCGCTTTCCCTCGGTGGGCCATCTTGATGACAAAATGAGCATCTCGTCCTCCTCCGGCCAGGGCTTCGTCAACGAACTCTACCCAGC